AAAATATATTCGTTTCATTGAATTCACTTACTCTCCCATCTTATGGGACTGGCGATGATCAATCATATCAAAAACCAGATTGGAAATCTTCATCCCTTCAGTATATGATCACATGTTTATCGCTAAATAATGGAAGGTTTATAGAAAGGAATAGCTTTCTCATAAAGTACAGATAGTATATATACTTGTAGTCGTCTAAAAATAAATAAAAAACTAGAATGATATATGCAACTCAACAAAAAACCCGGTAGAAGATCTCAGATTCTGGGGAGGAAAAGATTGTAAGCTTAGGTGTTCGAGATGTTTGCTTTGCAGTGACGTTTGCCCTTAGAGGCGTTTGCTTGTGAAAAAAACCCTTAAACCAAATATATCGCGATATTTCCCCCATTAAGCTCATTTATATTATTTTTACATAGGTGAATAGTTTTGTTCTTCTTCTTCTCATTGGCACGACAGCCCAGGATGGGCCTTGACCTTCTCAACAAGCCTATGCCAAGACATTCTTCCCTTAAAAATCTTAGGTTTGGTCGTCCTCTTTTTCTTGTACCTGTTGGCCTGGCACAGAAAACATTTTTGGTTGTCCTGCTATCCTCCATTCTTATAATGTGGCCTGCCCATTTAATCCTTTGAATTTTGATAAATTTAATAACATCAGGTTCTTTATATGATTTGAAAAGTTCCGTGTTTGATCTTCTAAACCAGGTACCGTTTTTACTTATTCCACCAAAAATGCTTCGCCGTATTTTTCTCTCATAGTTTTGTTACCCAAATAAAATTTAGTAACATCCAAAATAATATCGTATTCACTATCGTATTGGACATATTAGATATATATATTTGAAATAAAATTTGAATTTCTTTTATATAATTTAAAAACAAGAAAATTCATAAAACTGTTTTTGAAAACAGGAAGATATGTACAGAAAGAGTCCAACTACGATGTGAATAAATCATAATAAGAATCTATTGTTTATTTTAGCTTGTTCCTAATGTTCCAACAAAAGCTAGAATAGATCCCATCTAAAGATTAAATGGTTTGATACGGATGGATTACGCAACTCTTACATCTATAGCCTTCTCTAATGCATTATGAACATAAATAATACATTTACTCGAAATGTTCTTTCTGGAGTATCCCCGAGTTCATATAAAGCAAGCTATAAATAAATTTTATCTTCTCCAATAAATGTTCAGTTAATAAAGTTACTTGATACCAATTATTGAATCTTATGAATAATTCAAATCAATTCTGTTTACAAGCGTTGTTTTTTATAAGAAGTTTTAGTGCGATTAACTGGTATTGTAAGTATATAGAATGGATTAAATAATTAACGAGCAATATAACTATTATATTGAATTTCTTTTTTTAGTAAAATGATAAAAATCCAGAATTTTTATTTTCTTGTTTATTAATGTATTTTATAAGGAATTTCAATTAAAATTTGAAAGACTGTTCAAAGTGATAGATCATCTGAGCAATGTAACTGTTAATGAACTGATATTTTCAGTAGAAATTAATTAATCAACAGAATTTCAATTACCCTAATTGTAAACGTATTTTTACTAATGATTTTAATTGTAATTTCACAAAACTGTTAGAGAAATCATTCAAATTATTTGTGAAATAATGTAACTATCTGCAAATTAAAATTGTGCAATCAAAGTATTAATATCATCAAAATTATTTTTAATTTTTTTGCGAGTTTATTTTTATAAAACTAACTAATGGTGATTCTCATGGATAGTGTAAGAAGTAAAACAAATTATTAGTCAACAAATTTTTGAATTGTATTTTTAAATTATAAATTGAATCGCGTTGAATTACTTTTGATTTAATGATCGAATTTCTACGTTTTAGGACTCAGTGATTCAAAGGAGGATCCTCAAATATGCTTTAAATCAAAATTTTTCTTATGGTGGTCCTTTTTCGAATTATTAATAATTACTTGCACACTGTGCATCCTAAGCTCTCATCGTTAGTTTCAGCATTAGTGAATCTGTAGATAATATTTTTCACCTTTATTTTTAGAAAGTTTCTCTAAAAAATTAAACTAGTTGAAGATTGACGTTTTGTCGCATTCTCCATATTTTACGAATGAATTCCATTATGATTGTATTAATTACTTATTCAATTTTTTTTTATCGAAGCTTTATTTCTGAATTTATTAATTTTAAATTAAGTATATTCTTTACAAACTGACAAATGAATGCGTTGTTGGGCTTTATGCGCTAACGTAGAGGCACTATATTTTAATAGACTTCTTTTTTACAGAGAGTAGCCTACTATTTATTAGCAAAGAACAAATTATTTCTTTTATTTTCATAGATTCTTGGAAATATTCCATTTTGTTTCATTTTTTAGTTACTATAAAATGCTTTAAAAAAATTTACGAAATGGGACTACGGGGAAATAAATAAGGGAAGTTTCAAATTGAAAACGAAAAGATCCGGAAGGCACGAAAATTTATATAAATTTTATTTTTTACAAACATTTTATTTTAAAATGCTAAATTTATTGTTTTTTACTTATTTTGGCCAAACTTAATACAAAATAAGGAAAGAAAATACGAAAAATATATTTTAGGCGTCAAATATTTAAAGGTGAAGAAAGCTTGCGGGCCACGCTACAAGACCAAGTTACCAAATGCATCAACATCCTTGGTATTGCTTTTCTTTATGGAAGTTGTTTGCTAAGATGTGTACGCACGATCACCTTTTAAATTTATGAATCCTCCTAATCCTCTTATAAATCCTTCTTTAATTTTTTTTGAATATTCAAAATAAATTAAAAATATATATCGGATTTATTTATTTTTTTAAAATATACCTACACTTCTATAAAGTACATCTTCTATACCAAAGAACTATTTCTAAAAACAATTATTAGAATTATACAAAAGAACTTATTAAAGATCTTCGATTTTAAAGAAAACTCTTTAAAAATTATTAAATAATTTTAATTATAGTTGTTAACTCAGGAAAATGAAATAACTTTTTTAACAAAATATATACTGAGTTTATAATGCTATTAAATTGAAGTAAAAATAGCCAAATTAATTCGTTTTAAAAGTATATTTCAAATACAAAATTAAATAAACATTTTTATTCTCGGTTATTTATTCGCAGCAGCTTTAATGTTGACGTATACTTTTTGTTATTATAGTAAAGGTAAAAAAGAAATTAATATGTTTATATAGCTTCTATTTACAGAAACCAATCATCAAAAGAAAATAATCATTTCACAGTAAATCTAATGCATTAATTTTTAATTGTTGATTGTAAAGCTAGTGTAATTCATTGCAGAATGATATTTCCCTGATAGTATAATTCCAACATAAGCAGCTTTGTTATTTTGTTGATTATGATGGAAAATAACTTCGATTTCATAAAAGTTACTTTAATAATTCTGTTTTTATTATTATTTGAAATCTGTAACTCGGTAAGTTTCTATTTTCTCAAAACTTTCTTTCTTATGTGCGGAAATAATTTTTATGTGATAAATAATTTTCGATGTTTACAGATGTAGATTTTTTTCTGTAAAATTTTCAAAAAACGCTGAGATCAAAAGATACTGTGTTAAAAAGTCACCAGTTTTATAATATTAATTAATATTTTTTCATTAGTTAAATTCTCAGTTTACTTAAAAAAATATCTTGAACTTAGAAGAAAGACGCTGGTAAGTAAAATATCGTGTTGAGGGATTTTTCAAAATTCGAGATCTTGCAGAAGTTACAGCAACCGTTACAATATCATGACTGATACAGTATATATGGATATTTATAGCTCAATCAATATTTCTAAAAAAACTTATTCTTTAAACTTCCAATTAGTGATCTCTAAGCTTGTCTATAGTCTTAGTCAGGACAGATTCTTTGTCTGTTTTTATAAAATTACAGATAACACTAAAAAATTTTCTTACTTACTGTTGCGTGAGATTTTTATAACAGATATTAGATACTTTTGTATCCTGATTTCAGATCTGCAATCCGTTTCTCTTTTAAAACTACTGCTTTTAATAAATAATAATTTTAGTCTATTTATCGTCGAAATGCACAAGTTTAAGAAAGTTATATATAACAAGGGGGTTGAGTAAAAGTTTCGACAATCTTCTGCGAGAGTTAGGACACATCATCAAGATCAAAACTGCGTAAGAACTCAGGTCCAGAATTGTTATCATGTGCCACTAGAGGCGCTTCCCTATTCTGAACTGAACAGGTCATCATAGGAAAGCATTCCTTGGGCGGATTCTAACACGTACTTAACATTTTATAATTATAACGCCCACGTCTAGGTATGCGTTGTACGCAAACAGCATTAACACGCGCAAAATTATAAAATTGTCAAATTCAATTGCCAAATTTAAAGCCCCCTAAACATTAGCAACCTCTCCTTATATCCAAATCATAATCTAAACCATAGTTTCTAAAATCGAATAGGTAACCATAATCGATTCCGGAGAAAACAGACGATAATTGAAATTTCCCTTGTTTCAAAAAATAATATATGCTTGTATAGTTTATAAAATCAATTAAGTCGCACAGTGGACTGATCGTAAGACACGGTTACCATCAGATCACTGAAGTCAATCATCACTGGCAGCGGTCAGTGAGGGGGTAGGTGACCACCTTGAACACCTTGCGAAGTGGGAAGGTATTGGTCCTCGTTAAACTGTTCTAACGGAAAGTGCCCGACTTTGCTCACAAGTCGTTTGGCTGCCAAAGCAAGGGTACCATCCCTCTGCAGAGGATCAAAATTGTGATCGCATGTCCTTAGATCATTCTCAGAAATATTTCTCAGACCGACAGCAATAGCCTATTATGCAACTTCAGTGCGACGTAAATAAAATAAAACTACTACTATTGAATTCATCAGTGATCAAAGTTTCAGTCAGTCATTAAAACTAAAAGAAAACCGCAATTATTTTATTTTCTTCATGAAATATGCATCTGTTATGAATATTACATAATTTAAGTAGTTGTTTTTTAATTTTCTCCTTTTAGGAAATCCTTCCTTTACTGGAAGGAGGACACTTGCTTCGTAAACCATTAAACAAAGAAGAGATTAAGTTATGTTTCTCAAAAACTGTCATGATTGCCTATTGTGGCAATGTCAGAGAAACATTGTGCGTGGGTGCGTGGGCTGGAGACATCAAGATGTGTTCTGAATTCAGCAAGGACGTGTTGTCTATCCCAATTTGCGTTGAAGTATAGTATTGTACTTGCGTAATTATTTTTTAAACAAAAATATTTATTTAATGCTACAGTTATATTATTACAATAATTAATTATAATTTGTATCAGTCTTTTTGCTAGAATTATTGTATATACCAAAATCGTATAATACTTTACTTATCTTGTAAAACAGAATTATATTTCAAAATAATTCAAATAATCTTTAATAATAAAATGAAGAGTTTTTCGGTGTGTGTATTTTTCATAACTCCAGAACTATTTGTGCTGGAGTCCTGGTGTTTGGACATAGCTTGAAAGGGACAATGTTAGCCTCCGGTCTTGAAAATCGTTCAAAAAGTTTAGGTCAAAAGGTAGAGTTGCTCGAAATAATTTAATTTTTTCATTGACTCAGATCTCAACGTTGATAAATCAAACTGCAGACATTTTTTTCATATATTTTAAAGTTAACATCAGTGGTGTCTTCTAACTTATAGCTGTCATTATTCAAAAAAAGATTATCACACGATCTTTAGTATTTAATTACTTTTAATTAGTTATATCTAGAGCCTCTGAATTAGAGTATAGGAATCATAGTATAGTAGCCTTAGTTATAACAGATGAACTCAATGATAAAAATGGACATGGTAGCATAGGCTGATTACGTCAGCAATCTAGTGTTTCTATAATTGTCTGGAACCATGTACTTAGTTTGTTTATAATTATGGTTTTACAACGTCTTTATATTAAACTAAGTTATTTATATCACCGGTGCTAAAAGTATTAGATTTTATTTATTTGCTATTTGAGTATATGTAAGCTGTAAGTTAGAGTTTGTATCATTGGTGGCTATGGTGATATTATAGAAGAAACTTTTTGTAAAAATGGAGTCAGAAAAATTTTATTTTAGTTAAGCAGTAGCTTTTAGCAGAGAAAGACAGAAAATTACGCTTTCTCGTAGAGTCTCTTGAGAATCGGTAAATCGAACTGAAAAAACTTGAAATGAAAAAAAAAGCTATGCACAGATAAGCTAAATCAATGGAAAAATAGTACTAAATCGTTTAGGCGAAACACAAAATATCACCATATAGTACTTTTTTTGGGCAGACGTTCCCCTTTTCTATTATTGACGCCAAAGATACTTGATTAATTTTGGTAACAGGTACTAAGTGAAATAAAAAATAGTAACTTGAATATTAAAAAGCAAAATTAATGGAGAAATGTCATAATTTATTTAAGAGAAGCGTGGAAAATTGCCATATGATTATTGACGCCAATGATGCTTAATTAATTTTGATGTTTTTTCTAAATAAAACGAAAAGTTTATTTAGGTACTACAAACCCAAATTACAGTTAAAGAAATGGAATTAATTCATTTCATCTAAAAGAAAATTATATAAGATATGTACTCAAGGGAAAAATTGATTCGACAATAGTATAAATCCGTAAAAGAGAAAAGCAAAAATTCACTATACTGTTTTTGGCACCAATGATGCTAAATTAATTTTGGTAATAATCACTAATTAAAATAAAAATGCACGCTATTGTACTAAAAGCCAAAATAATGAACAAATAGTACTAATTCATTTAAAAGAAACATAAATAATTCGCCATGCTATTATTGGCGCCAATGATGCTTCTTTAATTTTGGTAATAATCTCTACTAGCATTGTGGTAATTGGTGCAGTTTAGTAGCTCCAAATAAACTAATTAAATTACAATTATTACATTGATACCTATTTAAACTGCACCAATTTAGAAGTTGTTGTTGTTAATTTACGTCGCACTAGAGCTGCACAATGGGCTATTGGCGACGGTCTGGGAAACATCCCGGAGGATGATCCGAAGACAAGCCATCTATTTGTGACTGAGACATTATCCACCTCCTTGCGCTGTTGCTACTCAGTCACGATCACACACAACGTACACAGTATACTCTCGATTGCTAAAGGCAACACAAGATCAACCACGATCGTGAACTTAATACAGCTCTCACGATCAGCAAAAAGTACAGTGATCTAAAAGCAGCTCTTCCGGCTTTTCACAAAACTGCAATGAATCAACTAGTGGTATTCATTCATCGAATTCTATCACAGATATAATTCTGGTGGGGGAGTACTGTAGTGTATCTACCACTACCAAAATACAATTCCCTAGTATATAAGACGTGTTAACTCGATTCTACCTTTTCATAGATGAAGGTTGATATGATCGATAAATATATCCCCACAACATAGCAATTAATAAGACAATAATTGTGCTATGCCCAGATAAATGTTCCATCTTTTGACGAACTCTGCAGCTAATTTTGAAAGTTTGTGAGAATTTGGTTTTTCTGAGAAAAATACTGTCGACCATTTATTTCTCTTTTCTTCCGTATTTTTATTTTTATTTTTTTTCATTTTTAGGAAAATACTTTTTAAAAGGTTCATGATTAATTATATAAACTGTTCGTGATAAACAACTCTTTTTATTTGATCTCATACAAATACAAAAATAATTTTATTAATTACTACTAGTTTTCAAGTTATATTTGTTACAAATATTTTTTTTCCTTCAGGGTAAAACAGGTTACGTTTACATGTGCGGTAAAGTAGCTCCAGATTACCTGTGCTTTTCAAAGAGCGAGAAAGGAACAGACATCAGACCTTGCAAAAATATCAGAAGACGAGTTTGTCTTATTAAAAACTCTTTTCAAAAATGCATGAATAATCAGCCATCAACTCCAAATGACCTCAACTTTCCAACGACCTGGACTACTCAAGGATCCACAATAAACACACCACTGCTAGATTCTGCCGAAACACTAACAAGGAACAACGTTACCATTTTTAAAAATAGAACAACTGGATTAGAGAAGATTAAATTTCGTAAATTAGATTCTAAGAAATCACCAGTTCGAAACATTACCAGCCCATCAAAATTCAGAATACAACCACTCCTCAAAATACAAAAGCATAAAGAAGTCCCTACCAGATTTAAAAAGAAACAAGATACCCAACTAGATCAATCATCAATTATTGATACCTCAATTGTTGGTTCAGACGAGGACTCCATGTATAAACCGTCAAATGAAATGTTCTTTATTGTTCTATGCCACAACTGTTCGGTGAAATCGAAAGCAAAACTTGATAAGAAATATGGAGAAAATTTTTCTATGGTTACACAAATTTTCTCTAAAGAAGAAAATGGTTGAAATAATTCATTAATTAATTGTTAAGTAAAAAGAGTTGCAATACTCGAATTTATGTCATACAATTATTAATCAAATTCTTTAGAGCTCTTAACAATTATTTTGTTTAAACCAAAATTTTATTTTGTTATGCTTTTAAATAATATTTTTAAATTATTAGATCAATAACTAATTTAAACTCTACCGAAAACATATTAATTTTATTCTATGTATATTCAGTAGCATTATGTGATGTTTCCATTAAAAGTATAATCATTCTGTAAAGTTTGTATCCTTCCTATTCTAAGTATCCTAAGTATCCTTCATTAGTGAATGTAATAACGTTGTAATTTATTTGTTCAGATATTTTTAGTTTTTAAATATTTTCAATTACTTGGTTATAATTTAGATCATCCAACATCTTTGAGTTAATAAAAACTGAGCAATGTCCACTTCTAAAAAAATACAGCAAAACAAGTATCTCGAATGATAAGATGGTTAGTATAACCAAAGTTGCTTTGTTTTTCATTTTTTATTTTGTTTGTTTGCTTGTTTGTTTGTTTTTCTTCGTTTAAATATTAATTTGAAGCACCTAATGAGCCTATTTGTTTTGTTTCCTTTTTGTCAATGATTCTTAAACTATAGATAAAATAATAAAACGCCTTTCACTTTTTTGTTCCATCCTATTGTTTTCTTAAACATTTCATCAATAATTAGAATACAAGTTAGTGCAGAAACATTAATATATTTAAAAAATTAAACCTAAAATGATTCAACATTGTCTGGTTCCCCTTTTTTTCTATTTTTACTGGTAAAAATTAATATTATGCATAAGTTTATAATCATCAAATATTGACACTACAAAGAAAATGAACCATTTTTTCAATGCTTGTTTACAATGTCTCCTCACTTGAATCATTAGTCGCAAATAAATAAACAGCACATTCAAAATATTGATTTAATTACGCATACATTAATTAGAAAGCCTTACATAAGTCAAAAATAAAAGTATCTGTCTCTATATGTTTCCCGTATTCTTTCGGAATTATTTGAACCAGGATTTTGAAATGTTGGATAACAAGCGCAAGAGATAATTTTTCAGCACCCGATCCTAAAATTCTTTAAACATTTTAAATAATATGTTTAGAAAGGTTGTGTACAAATATTTTTTTTAAATAAGCTTAGTATTAAATGTTGTAGCAAATTCAATTTTAGACTGTTCTGTTCCTTCAATTTTTTTTTTCCAATGCCCACCTGGAGAATGATCTCTAGTCGAAGCTTGTTGATCACTCTTTCAGGGGCACCAGGTGGGCCAACGTTTCCCCCACAGTAAGGACAGATAGTACAGATAATGAAAGAACATCCATGCCTTGCCCCGTATTCGAACCCATAACCTTTCTGCTGCAAGACCAGTTCCCCCATTCCTACATAGGCCGGTCGGAGTTTTTTTCCATTATTTAAATTATAAGATCAAATATGTTCGCTAATTTACAACTCTTTTTAATCGAGAAGTAGTTTTACTGGGAGTTTATTACACATCTTTTGATTTAAAAATAGAAAAAACACTCAAGAAAAATGTGAATTGAAGACATGTGGAAACAAAATCATCAGAATAGTATTTTTAAAGCTATCTGAAAGCAAATGTTCATTTTGTTTATAGTTATTATTGTTTCTATAAAATTGCATGATATAAAATCAATGTTAATTTTATTTTACTTTATTTTATAACCGGTGTTGAACAGCCTAAGTTAAATTAAATGTTATCTTTGACAAATTAATGTTAATTTTACTTTTGAACGTTTTACAATATCTCAAGAGATATTTGAGCGAATTGAAAAGCTTTTGCACACAGCTTTAAAATTCGTTTAACCGAAGACAATTCAATGCAGAAAATAATTTTTAATAACTGTTTAATTTTTTATTATTTTATTTAATAATAATCGAATATTTTTTGGATTCAAAGGTGCGGAAATTTTTTACATCATTTTAAAAGATGTAATTTTAGGTGGCAAAATACAAAATTTTGAACGAAATCGGTTGAATAGTTCCTGAGAAATCTCATTTAAAAAAGTCATAATTTGACTTCACTCTCCTGATCATTGAAACATTTCCTAGATAGCCGCTGCTCCCTATATTTTAAGGATCAGAAATCCGAATCAGTCAATAAAATTCAGAGAAAGCGCGTTTTTCTGTCTGATTTCGTAATTTCAAATATCGTCTGTGCTAAATTATTAGCATACTTGCGGTTATTAACCCTCGAATCAATAAAATTTAGTTTCAGTGCGTAAAAATGTGATGATTAGATCAAAAGTTATTCAGGATGTTTTCTTTCTTTCTCTATTTTTTCGCGTACATGCATTTTATATGAAGCTTAAATATTTCCCTAAAATTAAACACTTGTCTTCCTATAGACAAGTCTTTTAAGAAATTAAAAAATGTGTTGAGATTATTTTTCACAAACACATTTATTCAGTTAGCACTAAACAATAGCATTGTTTCTCTACTTTTTAAAAATCACTGTACTGAAAACTGTTAAAACACTTTTAAAATTATTGTTTTTCTAATAAATAACCGAAGATATAATTAATGTATAAATAATGTTGAAGTAGTAATATGTAATTAATGTAGAAGATGTAATTCAGATGTAAAAACGTTCAACAATAAATTTAGTCATTATGCCTAATCTAAATGTAATCACAGCAACATGTGTCAAATTCAAGCAGTACTTAATAAAGAAACAAACTCTTTTGCATGGCTGCTTCCTTAAATACTTTAATCACTTTAAGAAAATTAAATATGACCAGGCATTATTCATAAATTATTACTTTTTGCTGATTAAAGCTCAGAAAAATGATTGAACTAATCTTTAAAACATTCCCCCAATGCTTCAAAATTCATTAAAATTTCAGAAAGGCTCTTTAACAAGGACAACTAAGTCTAGACAGTTTTGAACAAATCCCTAAAAAATGAGCATTAAATAGTATAGGTTTAAAAACAGTACTTTCCAAGATAATGAAGCTTCTAAGAATTCTGATGAGCCCTTACTTAGATAAACATGACAAAGTTTTTAAGAAGACTTAAGGAGGCGTGTGACATAGAACATATTAAATCTACTGATGAATTCATCAACGATCCTATCAAATATTTATTTTGAAAACGCTGCTAGAGAACTAGCAAGCATATTAAAAAATGAGTTTAGAACGCTTAAGTGCGATTTATGTAGAATAAACCCAGTAATGGATATCAATTTCATAAAATTAGATCATGAGATGACAAGGTTCGAATGCCAGTGACGACTGGTTGAAACCGCACCGTCATTGGCTCACACCGACCACTATGCTGACGTAAAATATCATCAGTGGAAGACGGATCAAGGGTTTGAATCCCCTTGCTGTCGGCCGAACCGTAGGAGGTTTTCGCCCCCGTGTAACGCAAATGTTCATCAAAAAGTCCTCCACGAAAGCTAGTTTCTCCCAATACTTGAGCCGCGATGGCTCAGAGGATAGAGCATTCGCCTTCCAATCAGGTGAACCGGATAAGAATCCAGCGATGGCTGGTCGATGCGAATTCCGCATCCGGCTTGCACCGACCACAGTGCTGACGTAAAATATCCTCAGTGGTAGACGGATCATGGGTTAGAATCCCTTTGTCGTCAGGCTAACCGTGAGAGATTCTTATGGCCTTCCTCTCCATGTAACGCAAATGCGGGTTAGTTCCCCCTAAAAGATCTCCACGAAGGCAAAATTTCTCCCCCAGTGCTTGATCCAGGAATTCCCTTGTCTTCTGGATTGAGTTCAAAATTACAAGGCTACGAAGTTGAACATTAGCAGTCGTAAGCCCATAAAAGTTGGGTCAGCTGTTCAACGACGGTTATAAAATTATAAAATAAAATACCTTGATCGAGATGATACCTTGTCCTTTGAGTTGGGTACAAAATTGCAAGTCCACTGAGTTGAAGATTGATAGTTGTAAACTTAGAATTAAGTCTACTGTTCGGTTACTAAATATATAATACAAGCATAAAAGCAGTGCTTATGCAATATAAAAAACATGGAGTCAACTTCAATTGGTAGAAACAGCGCCAGATTCTGTTTAGGTCATTCGCTTCTAATAATATACAAGATTGTATCAAATACGGCTATATCGCAGTCATTAACGATAAAAATAAAAATCGATTATGATATCATCGTGATCATTATTGACAACTATAATTATCGAATGCGAAAATAACGCGATGGTTTTCGATAACATATCAAAACGGTAATCGCGTAAATATTACACTTAACGATAATTATTGAACACGTTAATGTGAGTGTTTGTTAATTTTATTTGAGCAACAAAAATATTGATCTTTTTAAAGATAATAATATGTAGTTAAATTGGAAAACATCGAGATATATTGTAGAATATCGATATTATTTGACAATGCATTGTGATATTGAAATTTGCACTTATCGATTATAGGGATAATTGTTCGTGTTAGCTACAACGCGAAAAGATAATCACCAACACATAGTCCTTAATGACCGTAAGTACCAGCCACGAAATTTATTTTTATACAGAATATTTCGTAATAACCATCCTTAAAATAGATTTTTAGACCCTTTGTCAAATACGAATTTATAAAAGTATACACATTTGGGTTTCCAAATTTATATTTAAGCGAAAAAAAGTTATCGAAGTCTAATAAATCACTAAGAAGAAAGACAGGCAGAATGAAAAGAAAAATTCATACTTTGGATTTTATGCTTTAGTAAAAATATAATTCCGATAATCTAACAGATTTTTTTTGAGTAGCTATTAAACTGTTTTATATAATAAAAACAACAAAATATATTTTTGCTTGTAATGAGAAGGTAAATATATAAATATATAAAGGAGACACCGTTATCCCACAATTGTTTCAAAGGGTTAACTGAACTACTAACAAGGCTAAGTCTTTCCAGAGTTGACTAAAAGTCACAACGATTTAAGGTTGATAAACTTACTAAGCTTGTGCAACCTATTAATAAGTAAACATTCGGAATGACGTCACTCAACTTTCAATAACACCTACTGGAGTGATGCCACAAACGAAGTCATGAAAAATAAAACAATATAATGCAATTATCTACTTATGTTAAGAATGTAAAAAAATTGAAAACTTCTAAGCATGCATTTTTCGAGAAGCCTTAAAATAGAGGATGTATTTTACTTAACATCAATTTTTTGATAATTTATGATTTTACGCGTTTTTCAAAATACATAGTAATAATAAGTAACATAGAAATTACCTAGTTTTTCCGTACCTTTCACTACATTATTAATCTTAACAATATAAATTAAGAAAACACAAAATATGTTGAAAATAAAACCTTTCGTAATGGGCACTGTTTTCCAAATACTCGTAATTACATTAAAAAAAACTCGACAAACTAGACGAGCTTTAAATTTTAGACTTGAAGAACACAATAAATATGTCCGTTTTTAAGGAATCATCAATTGCTGGATATTGTTAGAATATTGGGCATAAATTCAATTTCTACAATGACAAAATTATTTCAACCTCAGTCACATCCGCTCGTCTTGATGACCTGGAATCTTGTTTTATTCATATGAATGTTGATTCCCCTGATAACGACATTAGTTCCCCAGCAGCTCTCCATGCTGCATGGAAATGCATTTCACCCTAATTTTTCCTT